TCGGAGGAGATAAGGTGGGGATGGTGGATATTGTTGCCAACTTCATCGCCTTCTGGCTTAGGGCCCTTCAAGAAGTCGTTGGGGCTGACCTGCTCACACCAGAGAAATTTCCTGTTTTATTTAAATGGAGTGAAGAGTTGGTGGGGTGTCCCATCATCAAGGAAAATCTTCCCCCAAGAGATCAACTAATCGCCTCTTTCAGGGCTCGCCTAGAAAGTTCCAAAAAAAAAAAAAAAAAAGAAAGTTCCAAATAATACAGTATTCCTCCTAATCTACCATACTACTAGCTTTCGTTGCAACATGCTCTATCTTACGTCATCTTATGTCGGTACCGTCTAGTGTGGTTCTGTGTGTCTGTAAGTTTCTCAATTTCCTCTAAATGTTGTAAGAATGTAATCGCTCTATGTTTGTGCTTTGGAATAAAAACCCTTTTAAAACATTATTCATATTTAGCAATCACCATAAACATTTTGAGATTTTTTATCTTAATGTAAATATTTTTAATATTTATGGTCAAATTCTCTTTAAATTAACTCTTGCATACCTAATGTAGCATATATTAATTTGGTACACTCTTAGTGTACCCTATATTAGCCCAGTACAACCTCAAGACTTAAATCTCATTTACAAAAACAACAATCACTCGTGAAAGAATCCAAATCTTAAAGTTTTTCTAATTAGTTCTGCTAGTGATTCTCTTGAGAGAGATGCCTCAAGCATCGAATCATTGGACTTTGTCTTATATAGTCTAACCGAACCCAGAGGAGCAATTTATTAAATTCTCAAAATAAAGCAATTTAGATCCAAACCGGTTTCAATAAATAGCATCAGAGATTAGGACAACAGGGACAGCATCATGGCAGATGAAGTGAAGCTGTTTGGAACATGGGGAAGTCCTTTTAGGCGCAGAGTAGAGATTGCGTTGAAACTCAAAGGTCTTCCATACGAGTTAAATGAAGAAGATCTATCGAACAAGAGTCCTCTGCTTATGAAACACAATCCCGTGCACAAGAAAATCCCTGTCCTCCTTCACAATAGAAAACCAATTGCGGCATCCCTAGTTATTCTCGAGTACATCGATGAAACTTGGAAAGGTTATCCTATCTTGCCCCAGGTCCCTCGCGAAAGAGCCAGGGCACGTTTCTGGGC